CTGTGACGTCTTCAGCAGCCTCTTCCCTCCTGACAGAGAGTCTGAGCGTCCTCATGCACAGGTGGCATCGCCTTTATAGTAAATAATCTGCGATATTAACATACATCGAAATGCTGCTTTATTGCAACATATTGCCTGTTTAATGAACCCTTTACCAGAAGTTCTTAACACCTGCTGTCTGCCTGCTCCCCAGACACACAGACTACAGTCATTTTATATCTCAGGCTGCATTTAAAGCACTTTGTTTAAAATGAAGTGTAAATTCACACCAAACACAGGATCTCAGCAGCACATAAGCACTATTCAGGCGCCAGTGGGGGGAAAGTTTCCTTATTTAAGTAAACGCACTAATATCACGCCGCAATAAAACTCAATTACAACTAAAGAATAAAAGTAAGGAAGCATTATCAGCTCGTGTGAGGAGCGTTGCATTATTAACACTTGTGCATACACACTGTTCAGCGCAGCGTTAACGCCGCCTGCATAGTGCTGTGTAGCGCCCCCTCATGGCACCAAACAGGCGCCGCAAGTTTAGTCAGAAACACAGCAGTTACAGAAACGCCTGAAATGTAACCGACACAAAGGTTTAGGTCATAAAGAGAGACTTCTGGAGGAATTATAACACAGGAAGAAGTCATATGACAAAGTCCACTCAGCGAGGTGGTCGGGGTCGATGGACGGGTCCATAAAACAACAGACTTAGACGTGATAAACATGCATTTTCTTCTTCCTTTTTAAGTTATTTTTCTTGCCTTTATTAGGACAGTCGAAGGGAGACAGGAAAGTGGGGCAATGGGTTGCAGCAAAGAGCCATGAGCGGGATTCGAACCCCCGGCCGCTGCATCGGAGACTACAGGCCCTGAACATGGGTCGCCACCTCAACCAGGTGAGCTAAAGCAGCGCCCCCATGGGAAACATTTTCTGTCTCCTACCACCAACCAGCAGAGTTAAACTGATCATTTCCTGCCATCAGTCAAGTTCTAACTAAATCTGAAGGAGCTGTTGGGTTAAGATCAGGATTAGAATGACTACGGTCAGGAGAAATTATCACATTACTGCCCAAGGATTAACCAACCAAGAGAAATAAATTAAAAGATTAAGGTAGCAGCTGATCTCTGTTATCTAACTTATAATTCTCTCAGGACGCTTCCCTCTTGGGGATCAATAGAGTCTCATTTTGCACCATATGACATAAACTCACCAAACTCTCAGCTCCAGTAAACTCCAAAATGATTCCCGTTGATCCACCTGCTCGTCGGATTTATTTCTTGTAAGAATGTGAAGATAAATCTCATTAAAAACAGAAGAAATCACAGCATTATGATTGACAGGTTGATCTTTGGTGTTTTGCAAAAACACACGCGTGTACCTGAAGTAACTTTGTGATCACAGAGTCCTCTAACATCTGGGCAGCTGCCGCCGCCTTCAGCTGACGCTCTCCACACGCAGTAATGTATTAAATGACATTAAGCTGCCACAGCTGATGGGAGAGTTCACACCAGACAGTAATTACTCTTCTGGGCTGTTTTCTTTCGCCCAGCTGACTGACATCCCATTAACAGCTGGAGGCGTGTGCGCTTTGGAGGCGCCGCTGTGGGTCGGCTTTTATTGTTCTGATTGGCTCTCATCTCCACTGTCCTCCTTGGCAGCGAGCAAATGACGATTAATAGCGTTTCGTTCGAGAGGTGAGCTGGTGAGGAACTTCTGTTTGGAAACTCAAAGCGGTGCTGCCGACGAGAAAAGCGTGGAGGCAAAGACAGAGAAATCCACGCTTTAGTTTCTGCTCAGGTGATCAGAGGGAAGAAAATCTGGAAATCCAGCGCTTACCCAGATAAAGCCGCTAGACAAGTGTTAGTCGTCTCAGGAATCCTTGTTAATCTTTAAAGGTGAGCAATTATAAAAGAGCTACTGAAGAAAGTCGCAAAGGCTAACCGCAAAACCAGAGCAGAAAAAAAACAAGAAGTGGCTGAGCATTCCAGATTTAGACGAGACGCCTGTCTTTTAGCTCTTGGGCATCTTTCTGAGACAAATTACTTTCAGTAGTCAATAGCCTGTAATTAAAATATACCCACTTGATGGAGAGGCAACAGTGTCTCTCTATTTAGTTATGGGTTGGAAAGATTAATTCTGGGGTGTATAACCCTTGTAATTTTCCAAGTGCTGTTTATTGTTTTCAGAGAGAGAGAGAGAAAAAAAGTGCAGACGATTGAAATGTCTCAGCTCAAGATCTGCTTTGATTTGTTTACACTTCACACACATTTGGTTTTCTTTCTGAGCGTGCCCTCTTTATGCTTCAGCAGCAGAGATGCACATTAACAATTTGCATTAACGTTTTGGAACACGTCCACAGCTCTCGCACGTCGCCGCCGCCGCCGCCGCACTAATAACGTGTGTGTGTCTGAATGAGAAGGTCAGGGTTTGCTGCTTTTGAATCGCAGATATTGGCTCAATCTGCTGAAACCCAGAGTGTGAACAGAGTGTGGTGGAGAGGGGTCATCAGGAGCTGTCCTCCTCGGCTCTGACTCGCTCTGAGATGAGACTCACTGGTCCCCCTTGTGGCCAAAACAACGACTGCAGCACATGTGGGCTCTGGGAGGCAGCACAACTTGAATTGGTGGATAAAACAGAGGCTGCATTGAAATCACCAGCTGTTGTCCGTAATGATGAAAACATCCCTAACTTAGCATGAATTTATAATTATGCAGAAAGCAAATTTGAATCTCTTTACTGGAACTTTTCAATTCCCATTCAATCTCCCAGGAGAGAGTTGGTGTGAATCATATGCAGAGATTGTGTGAGTGTGTGTGTGAGTGTGTGTGAGTGTGTGTGAGTGTGTGTGATTTCTCTTTTTTTTTAAAATGCAGATCTCAGATACTTCATAATGAAACTTTTGTGGAGTCCCAAAACCACAACAAATGAACTTTTCTGAGAAGTATTTGTACGTATCAGCTTACGATAAGGGCTCCTAGTCCTCCTGCGTCTGCTCTGATAAAGACGCTCGCTGTGGACGAGCAGAATCATTTTCAGGATTTTTTTTTTAAACCTAAACCTTTTCCTCCAGCTTTCACCTTCTGTTGTCTTCTGTCACTTTCTTTTAGGCCTTTTTTTTCTCCCTCTGCCGCTCCACTAATTCTATTTTCAATGGGATGTGTAAATTAAGTGTAAATGTAAATGGATCAGTGTGTTATTATGCTAAATCCGGCAAAAGAAACACACTCGCATTGTAAGTAAACAGCTGCATTACCTGTGGGCTCCGGCACACCTGCTAGTGCAGAGCAGTTAGCCTGTGCAGATGCAAACTGTCAATCATTTCACACACACCCATGCACAAACAAAGAAATGGGTATAAATGTGCAAGGTGCACACAGGTTCACACACATGACACAAATAAAAATGTGCATGCAAACCACAATAATGTGATGCACACAAACACACTCTGCCTACACACACACACACACACACACACACACTGTACTCCTGTATGTGCAGCAGCAGCAGCAGCAGCAGCAGCTCATATATGACGAGCACAAACAGGATAAAGTCAAACGTAAAAAAAATCACTCATGCATGAAGCTATTTCTTTTTTTTTTTTTTTTCCTGATGTGAACATCTATTCATATACAATATGTGGAGCCATAAAACATCCTTTCACTGGCTGTAATATGCCATTCATTAAGACTTGCATTTAAAACTTTGCATTTTCTCCGTCTAATTTCAGACTTTGGCAGGAAAAAAGCGACTTATATATATTCTTATTTTTTTTTATACAGCAGTCAATATATCCCAGTTACAGCTGGAAATCATTTAGAATAGCACAAATACATATAGACAGTGTGAGGGCGAAATAAAAGCTGTTTCCCCTCCCTTATCTGAGCCTGTCCCCGGTGCCTCGGCTCATCCAGCTTCAGGCTGTGTTCTTAAAAATGTCCAAGAAAAGAGAGAAAAAAAAATCAAATTATTCTGCTTTCCACGTATTTTTTCTTTTTTTCATATTTGCATTCCTTTAGCGTTGATTTTATTATTTATTATTTGTATTTTGTGCTGAGGCCCGCGCTGGATTCCTACAACGAGGCGAGCTGGTTTGTGTGTGTGATGGCCGGAGTTAAACTAAAGTTACAAGAGGAAAGAAAAAAAAAAGCAACAGCTTGCACTGATAAAATAAAAGTGAGTCTGGTTCAGTAATGATGCATTAAAAATGTTCACTGCCGAATAGTCAGAATAATAATTATTTCCCACTAAAAGCCTTGTTTAAATTGGCGAAATTAATTGGAAAAAATAGCTTTCGGCAAACAGCAAAAGAACAGACTGCAGTATTAACATGTCTTTCAACAAGCATTGTTCAAACTTAATTATTCTTGAAAAGTTTTTTTCCTCTCTCTCTCTTTCTTCTTTATATTTTTGCGCACTTCGGCTTTCGAACAAATCAACCCATCTGCTTTAATAAACACCTCTGCTATGTCGCTGGGAGCGTGTGATGTATGTGGCGGACTATAGCGGCTGTATGGTTTCATATTCCGCTCAGGTGTGCGGGGAGCAGAGCTGGCAGTTTGCCCTCCGCTGTTAAAACAACAGGCTCTGACTCTATTCGGAGCAAAACGCACGCCGCTGCGCGCAATCGAGTATTTACCAGACTTTTTCCCCCCTTCGTCTTCTTCTTCTTCTTGACATGCAAACATGTGGCGTGTAAATATGAAAATGAATGAGTGTGAGAGCTCTCCTGGCAGTGACTCCCCTCTCTCTCTCTCTCTCTCTCTCTCTCTCTCTCTCTCTCTCTCTCTCTCTCTCTCTGTCCCCGGAGAGCAGCGCGTCGGAGAGGAGCGGCTGTAAAAACCAAAGTGGGGCAATGAGACAAGCTGCGCCACAGCTGGCAAATCATCGATTTGAGCATCAGAAACGGGGAGGGGCGGTTCATTTACCTGCCACCCTCTCAAAGCAGCCCTCCTCACATGCCGCTACTCTCCTCTCCTCTACTTCACCCCCGCTGCCCGCAGCGCACGGTTCGCTCGCGTTTTTCTGCGCTCCACCCGCCGTGTGCGCTCCCCCAACTTCGCTCCAACCTCCGCCAGTGCGGCTCCTACAAGACGACCCCCTCCTCCTCATCCGCAGGACTTTTGACTTTTTAAAACAGTTTCTTCCCCCCCTCCTCCTCCCACAGAGCAAGTTGCCTATTTTTGGATCTCTCGCCGTGGAGCAGTGACAAGAGGTTGTCCAACTTTTGATGGAAAACAAGAGGTCGGGCGACTGCTGACTTTAAAGGTACGATCTCCCGGTTTTTTTTTTACGCGCACACACTGTTCATGTGTCCCCTGCTGTCATCCTGCCTCTTTATTTAATGTCTCTGCACATCTTTTCAAATCACATTTTTGTTGTTGTTGTTGCATTAAAAATAAGGTGCGTCTCCTTGGAGCGAGCAGGATGAATTACTGCCGTCTAAATGAATTAAAAGCAATTTACAGACCTTTATCTTCCAAATCACTTAAAACCCACACAGACCAAAAGTGGCTGCTCGGATTTAATATTTCATAAAGAAAGAAAATAAATAAAATAGAGAATGTGAACGCCATGCTTAGTGCTCAATTTAAATGCACGCATTCAGAACTTTTTTCTCGTTTTAAATGGGCCCGTGTCATTTCTGCACAAATACCCATGCACTCGTGATATTCGCGGGGTTAAGTACATCCATCTCATCTAATTCATTTAACAACTTATTCAGCTGAGGGGGCAAGAAGTGATGCTGCACGCCGCTGCTCCTGACCTCATGATTCCAGGGAGCCATGGGATGTGGAGTTTTTTATTTTATTTTAAATGTAATTTTATTTTATTTACATTTTCTGTTCGCCAGCACGTTTAAACAGGATTCAGGCCTTTTGCTTCTCTCCATCCTGTGTGTGTTGACGAACTGTAAAACAGCTGACATGTCTGTTGGAGATGCTGAATCTATTGCAGCCCAACTGCCCATCTACTTTTACTACTTTTTATTAGGCCATTAGAGCCACTTCATTTATTCTCTCCATATACTTACTATTTAATTACGTGTCAACTTGCTTCAGCACTTTTATTGGTTTAAGCATGTGTAACGCTCAAAAACACTGAGTCCGCCTGAGCACAAAAAAATAAAATGAAAATCAGGGAACAAACAGGTGAAGCCTTTTCTGCCTGACTTGGTGTGAGGCAGTCGGATAGATGTGGCGATACCGAGGTGCTGTGAGGCTGTTTGGTCTGCCTCATGGCTTTCGTCACAGTGCTGATAAAGTAATGTCAGGTACAACCAGACCCGTGCATGTGTGTGTGTGTGTGTGTGTTTGATAGCGAGATAGAGAACAGAGAGCAGTTATGAGAAGATGTATTGCCATCTTAAAAGTGCGTGGGCGCTGATGTTCTGTGGTTTGCAGGTTTTTAAAGGTTTCACTCTCTGCTCCTTTAGAAAATAGCTGACATTTCACACAGCAGCAAGGCCAGTGGCTTTCACTCTGATATTCGAGCTTATTTATATATAGACATCAGCACAAAATACACTCACGCATGAAAGGCTGGAGCTCGCATTGTAGATATAACCAGATTAATTGATTCAGACGCTGGTGGAGAAAAAAAAATAAAAAATCATCATCATCGAGTGCAGAGAAAATTACAATAAAGTCTGGTAAAGAAGTTCGCATCGCAGAAACTTAATCAGACAGTTAAAGGACAGTGATGTGGGCAGAGTCCTTCGCCTTCGGTGTCGCCGCTTGTTTGTTGTTGGGCTGTTGTTCTCAGGCTGTGTGCTCTGCTCGCTATCGAGCGTTGGTATTTTTGCATGGGGAAAACAAAACAAAAAAAAGAGGTTATGGCACAGCGCCGGTGATTTTTCTCTCCTTTTATCTTTGCAGATCTGTGGCAGTTCAAGGTGCTGTGGCTTATCTGGTCAGTGCCTTTGACTGCAGTGACACACAGCCCTTTTCCTGTCTCAGGCTGCCATGTGTCACTTCTTGTAAAAGTCCTCAGGCAACAAGAAAGCCTCAACGGCAGTTTGCGAGCGTTGAAGCAAAACTTCTCGGTATTACTCCTCGGCTCTGAGCCTTCACTCCAACCACCTTTTTTTTTTTGTTGTTGTTTTATCAGTTTGTGGTGTGGAAGGTGGCACAAACATGCTCGCGTACATATCCACAGCAGCATGTCAATATGTTTGGCAAAATTTCTCCACATAAAACTTGTTTGGCAGGAATGATAAGAATCAGAGTGTGAAGACGGCGGCGGCGGCGCTGCTGACGTCTGCCAGGTCACACAGATCCAGCAGTAAAGCCTAAACATCTGTCACAGCTTATTAGTGCATAATTAAATTCTTTGACTGCATTCGGCAGCGTTCACAGTTCTTACAATAACCCTACTGTGATTTACAATTAGGAAGTGATCTGGGAAAACACCTAAGTGTTTCCACCTTTCTTCTTTTCACTTACAGGTTTAGCCTTGTTGTTCTCTGATTTTTTTTCCCCCCTTCAGAGCCTAGTTTTGTTTTCATTACAACCTATCGAAACTAGTGCACGCAGCATTTACTGTATTGTAGTAGTGTAATGGCAGGAAATGAGCTTGTAATGTTCACCAGCAGTGGAGGGCTTCTGCTGCTTTGAAAGCCCGGCCACACTTTTGCATCACAACTCCGTTAACACTCACGACATGAAACCGTATTACCGGAGGGATGACAAGATCCGCGTAACTCCAGTTAAACCGCCTCTCAGACCGTATTAGTTAAGTGTAATTTAGCGGCTGCGTGCCGATCGAGCTCTCGCTCAGCGGCAGGTTAGCAGAAGAACAGGTTGTCAGACGAGAGCCGGAGTTGACGGCAAACTTTGTCCTGTGACCCCGAGAGGCCAATTAGGTCGCTCACTGGAGAGCACAGGTTGTGATTTTGTTGTTGTTTGTGCACTCTTCTCAGAAATGATATTAGGAACGCCTCATCACTTGGCCTCAAAATGTAATTATTCTCTGAATCATTGCTTTCAGTTAAAAAAAAAAAAACAAACTCCAGTGAAAGTTGTTGTCACGGCACACCAGATAGAATCGTCTGCGTGTTAGCGACAGCTCCGCCGCCTCAGCTTTGTGTCGGGATTGTTCTTTGAATTCCTGCCGCAAAAGATGCAGATTATTAAAACCCCCCACTGCTGAGTGTTTGCTGGGAGTTTAGAACTGGGCTGTGCCTCACTTTGCTGAGACTGATATCTCGGCTAAAACCATTAATCGTCTTTCTTTACCACCTCGATAATTATCGCTGTAGCAAAATAACAGCTCAGCAAACAGTGAAATTATACCTGTGGTAGGGAGCAGAGTAAATACCTGTTTAGCTGCCAGCAAATGTATTTATTAGACTGTCGCCAGTAAATAAGAGGCCTGTCTCGTTTTTTAATGTGTGGCTCTTTGGGGATTCCATCCCTCCACACTCCCCGCCATGCCTCCTCTGTATGAAATAGCTCTGTTATGATTGCTAATAGAGGAGAAAGATAACAATGATTCGCTGCTCTTTTTTGATGGCAAGTTGCGACTAGTTTGTAGAAAGAAAAGGTTGGTGAGTTAATAATGATTGCTGCATTCCAGGGCTCAAATATGTAAGAGAGCCCCCCCACCTCTGTCAGTGGCAGACATACCACCCTGGGTGCATGCTTAGTGTGTGATTCAGGAGTTACAGCTCATTTTGTCATTATCTGGAAAGTTCTTTATGAAAAAAAAAAAAAGAAAGAAAGAGGGGAGTAGGGGGGTTATGTTGTCCCAGCATGTTGGACTGCATTTATTTTGGCATATGCTTTGCATGCTGTTGATCCAGATTCCTTGGCTTAGTGATAAAAGCGTCACATTGTTTTTGGGTCCTCACAATCAGCCCCGTTCGCTGAAAGGGTTGGCGTGTCCTCCCCGGGAGATAAAAAACCCAAAGTCCGTCATGTTGGTTTTGTCACGCTTTCACAAAATGACATCCCTCCTATGTTGGATTTTTTTTTTTCGGGGGGGTTGTTGTTCTTGTTATTTCGCCTGCTTCATGCTGCTGTAACAAATACAATTTAAAGACGCATTCAAGTTTTCATGATTTAAATCACATTATTACAGGTCTCCTCGTATGTTTTTCTCTTTTTTTTTTTTCTCTTTTTTTTTTTTTTGGGGAGGGAAAAAAAAAAACCTCATTGTGTTTTATTCCGATGCTTGTCTTTATCCGATCTGTGTAGGTTTTTCTGAATCCTTTGTTCAGAGGAGAAAAAAAAGAGCGATTTAGAGGAAAGCGCATCCTGCTAAGATCAGGTTGTTAATACCCACCCACATACCCCAATGAAACAATTTCAACAGATACTGTATTCTCTCTGTCTGTCTGTCTAGCACACACACACACACACACACACACACAGTTGCCTTATCAACTGTTTTGTTCGTCAGTGGATGGATGATGCATCCTTTGACAAGGGATTAAATATGCAAAGAAAAATATGTAGATAAAGAAGCACATCCTTAAGTCTGTGCCTCTCATTCAATACTTGTGCCTAAGCCTCGATATTAAGAGCCGTTTTCCCCACATGCCTATATTTCATCTCTGCCTTCGTCTCAGCGTAGCGTCACTTCTTGCACACTGAGGCGAGTAACACCATCCCATCACCTGCCCTCATTTCCTAAACACTCCCCACAAGGCCGCTTTGCCGTGCCCTTCACCGCCTCTCCCCCACCAGAGGGAAAACCCAGCAGGACACGTCAACCCTTCTCACCCCTTCAGTCTGTGCTCTCCCTCACAAAGCCGTCTTCAGTGGCTCGTCCTCCGCCTTAAGCACACACAAACACCCCTGTCCTTCTGTAACTCCATTAATTGTTTATTTGTAGCCGTCCACGAGGCAGAAATTAGACTTTAATTATTTGGTCATGTGATGAGCGGGGTCCAGCGAGCGGTGACAGAAATGTCATTTCTGTAAAAACGGCTTCTGATGCCTGTTGATTGATACGACTAATCGCTCCTATAATTCGATAAAGGCGAGGAGAGGGAGGGGCCGATAAACAAGGTCAGCGAAGGGTCCTGTGAGCGAGGCCGGGTGGGAACGTGGCTCAGATCCCTGTGAGGAGGGCTGGACGTGACCCGGCGTGGCTCGGCGCTAACCCGACTGCTGCGTCGGGAGTTCAGGCCCGGACCCTGAGGGCAGAGGCCTCGTCAGATACGGCGTGGAAACATGCTCGCCGCCGCCGCCGAGCGGATGCACATGCGTCTGTCTGCGTGGCGTGCAGCTGTGTGGGAGTCGCATTGTGTACAGTGCACACCA